TGTGTGTGTGTGTGTGTGTGTATGTGTGTGTGTGTGTGTGTGTGTGTGTGTGTGTGTGTGTGTGTGTGTGTGTGTGTGTGTGTGTGTGTGTTTATCTGTCTATCCACTGCTTTGGACTGATTGCTTCCTGGCTGTGGCTGGGCTGTTAGCAAACGTGTTTGTTTGTTTACTCAACCTGCGAGGACAGGTAAAGTTGCTACGATACGTTTGCAAAGCGCGGTATTTTCACAATTTGCCCTGCATAGAACGACTACATCGATCTAGCAATTTGGACACCTTTGTCTATTATGCATTGTCTATTAATATGACTTGCCAACAGAGACCTTACAACTTTGTACATTACGGTGATGACCCGGCAGTGAATGGCAGCGTCCACAGTCCTTGACCACGACCTGCGGGCTACGGACCGTTCCTCCTCTTCTTTTCTGCTATGGTGGTTTTCAGTCTCTCTGCTGCAGTACCTATGTCGGGCCTCCTGTCATCGTCTTCCTCAGTGCAATCCGCTGCCAATCGAAGCATCTCGCAAACCATGTTCTCCTCGTCGCAACCCTTCCCAATGTCATCTCCCAAGCATCTATCGAGAACCCCCTTCGTGTGCAGATGAGTAGCCGGCAGCCAACCAAAATGCTTCACCCAATCCGTTAACGGAATTTCCTGGCCATTTTCCTCCCATATCGCCCTCTTCCCCGTCAACAGCTCGTAGATTACCACTCCAAAGGCGTAGACGTCAGCCTTGACCGTTAGCTTACGATTGTTAACATACATAGGATCCATGTATCCCTTGGTCCCCGCAGCGCTCGTCGACCTCACGACGTCCTCGACTGAGGCGTCATACACTCTCTCGACGAAAGTCGCCAACCCAAAGTCCGACACGACAGCGTGGATCTTGCCTTCCTCCCCATCACGAACGAGAACATTGCTGCTCTTGATATCCCTATGAATCACCGGAGGAACCACACTGCTGTGAAGGTATCGCAGCCCCTCTGCGATCTGGAGGGCGATGGACGCGCGCTGCGTCAGCGTCAGCGGCGGAAACGTCGGCTGCCCACGTACGGACGACCGGGCGTGCAGTCTTTGAAACAGGCTGCCTCCTGGGAAGAACGGGTAGACAAGCGCCGATCGTCTTTCGTCCTCGCAGTAGCCAAGCAGATTGACCAGGTTCTGATGATGTAGTCGGCTCAGAGTGTTCACTTCGGCCACGAACTGCTTTTGCTTGCTCTCTGTCAGTCGCCCCTCCATGACCTTGATTGCCACGGGAGGAGAGGTGTCGCTGAGCTTACCCCAGTACACGTGTCCAAACGCGCCGCCTTTTCCAATCATGTGCTCCTCATGGAAACCTCGTGTACACAATTTCAACAGTTCGAGCGAAAAGCTTTCGATAGGATTAGCGGGGAGCAAGAGGGCGCTGTCGTCAAACCGTCCAAGAGGGATCTCCTTGCCCGGTAAGGGTGAGCTGGCTTTCTCCTTGTTCGCTTCGTCTCGCCGATGGCGATGGCAGAAGAAGAGCAATCCAACGGCAGAAACAGCGGCGATCACCACAGCTGCCAACGGAATGAGTATGGCCATGTATTGGCGGCTGCCGGACTCACGCTTGGGCAGTGGGGCTGCAGATGAATCGATGGCTGTGGGAGTGGGAGAAGGAGGCGGGAAGGAAAGTCGAGATTCTTGCGAAGAAGATGGCGATAGCGACGATGGGGAGAGGCTGTCGAAGGGGGGCCAAATGGACACGTTCTCCTCCAAGGGAGCAGAGGACGGAGGTACGCTAGGAGGTGCAGGAGGGCCCGTGTATAAAAATGCTTGATTGATCTCCAACTCGAAGATGGTACCGGCAGTTGTCCCCAGGTAGAGGCGAAGGTGTGTACTGTTGGCGCTGTGCATGACCAGTCCAGAGAACGGACGCTCTAGATCGAATGCCAAGGTCTGCACAAATTGCGCTCTTCCACATGGCGATTCCAGAGTAATCCAGATTAGGAAACCCTCTACCGAGGTCACAAAGAGGTTGTACCCGTCTGGGGTGACGACGATCTCTCTAGGCGCCAAGAAAGATGCAGTCGTGAAATCACCATCGTTTACTGCTTGAGTACTGGTACTGACCCTCCCTGCCACATGCACAGGCGCCTTGTTTGGTAATGGCTCGATTGCCCATATCTTGTTGTATTCGCGGTCGGCGAGATAAAGGCAACTGCCGTTAGGATCGAAGCTCTGGGGTCCGAACCAGATCTGACTTATGTTAGCACTGCCGAATGCACCCTTCTGGAAAACCGCCAGCTGCTCGAAAAGGGTCTCATTGGCTAGGGGCGGGCTCGGTGGAGCAGCCACCGAAGCAGATAGGAGGCGATAATTAGGGGGAGAAGCATCAGCAGCGAAGATCTTCGTCTTGTTCGGATTCACCGCAAAGCTAAACGCCAGTCCAACGTTCGTTAAGCTCGAAGATCGACTGCCATCAACGGTGGAGAGGAGGGCAAGCTTCGACCGAGAAAGTTGTGGGGGCCAAGTGTTCTCTCCCAGCACCAAATGTTTCGTTGGGGAGCCTGGAAGAAGGTCCATAGCCACAACATCTGCCATAACCGGACTGAACTTACCATTGACGAGCTGAGGGATGACAGGATCTTTAAAGCTTGTTGCGCTTGTGTTGCTCACTGGCCACCAGTGACTGAGGAGCTCCCCATTGTCGGTGCCGTTAGAAGTCCGGAGGTCCAACTTCCAGTAAGAGAGCAACCTGTGACGGTCCTCACCGGGAGCATCTGCCGGACTGCACTTCGACTCGAGCAGCAAGTACAAGAAGGGTTCGTTGCTGTCGGAGGCCATGCGTAAGGGAGCGAAGGCACATTTAAGGGTTGTATTCGAGGAGGAAGTGTTGAATGGCGATACCGTTGGCTTGTGTTGGTACACGACCCTGCTCCCCACGACAATTGAGTTGTTCTGGATCGATGGATCGTTCAGACCAAGTACCGATCGACGGTGCACAGTCTCACCTCTCTCCGTCAGGACGGGAGAATCATAATGGTAGTGGTGGTGATTCCTCGATCCACAACCACGCTGTCTTCTAGGCGATGGCGATAACGATGTTGTCCATAGTGACGACGACGATGAAGATACATCATGGGTGTATCCCTCAGAAGCCCTTCTTGGTCCCTCTGTGCTGATATGCACGACGGCAAGGAATGTCCACACCACCACGGTGAGGAGCAACGGAAGGCCAAGGAGGAGCAGGATTCGCTCCTGTGAGGTATTCCACGCCATGTTAAGGTCCAAAACACTTCCGCCTACAGTGCCTTGCACCTGCAGAGGCAATGTCTGCTTGTGTGTAATGTCCTGCAACCACGGAAATACTAGCTCCTAGTACCTCGTTTCTTGATCGACCCTTCTCTGCCACACATCATCTGCACGAGGACAACCTGACACATAGAAAGACGACAAACAGGCCAAGAAACATACAACACTGTGTAAATCACAGAGTACTCGAGACTGAGCAAGCAAAAAAACTCACAAACACAAAGACACTGAGACCTAGGGTAGAGACACTAATGTTAGGAAACCGCAAAAGAGGAAATCAATGTTGAAAGCACAATGTAAGTGCCGTCAATTTGTTTTAAATTTTAATTACTGTTTCACTGACTAGGATGCCTGTCTAGGTAACAATGGGTGTTTACAGTGGTTATTACAGGGGCCCTCTGTCCTGGGGAAACTGTTAAGTAGGGAACCATCAAAGGTGCGAGAGAATGCTGTGCTCCGTTGTGGGTGTGGCTTTGACGTTTTGAACAGGAGGGAGAGGTGGGGGTGGTTCACCCATTCAATGTCTCATACTCTCCCTGCCGAAAGAGGGGTGTCTCTGCCTACAGCCGGTGCTAGCTGGATCTTGACGGGGACAACCCATACTTTGGTTTTCCGCAGTGAGAGTCACAAGAGTCGCAGGCTGGGGGGGTGGCTGGAATAACGGATGTTTGGCCTACCAGAAGTCCGGTCCCTCCTCTTATAGCTTGGTACTTGATCTTCCGGTGCAAGGTGGACTAAATTTGGCGTGGTCTAGCCTTGCAGGGGTGGGCAGGCAACTACTCTAGCTGTCCTGATCGTTTTGCCCTTCTGTCTCCGTCCGGGCCAGAGGGCCCTTTTGGACCCTAGACTCCCGATCACAGGCCACGGCCCAGGCGGTCGGGCGCAGCCGAGAAATGGTCTCATTTGGGAAACGAAAAAAAAGGACCAAAAACCGGACCAAAAAAAGACCAAAAAAAAAAAAAAAACAGGGGTTGTAGGGTTTCAAATGCCCTAACCCCATATTTTCGTTTTTTT